CAGGGGGCACTGCGCGCAGGGCATGGAGTGCGTGAAGGGCCGCAAGAGGCGGAAGGGCAAGGCCGGGGCGGCGGCGGGCGGCGTGTGCGTGTGCAAGAGCCGCTACCCGGTGTGCGGCAGCGACGGCGCCACCTACGCCAACGCGTGCCAGCTGCGCGCCGCCAGCCTGCGCGCCGAGGCCCGCGGGGAGAAGGCCATCGCGCAGCTCAGCAAGGGCACCTGCGAGCAAGGTGGGCACTGCGCGGGGGTGGGGAGCCCGGGCGCGGTGCTCCTCCTTCCTAGGTTTGGGTGGAGAGGCGCGGGCGGGAGGGCAGGGCCTGGGGAACAAAGTCGGGACTGGCGGGCAGCTGCCGGCCCCTCCAGCTGGCTAGATTGGAACACTTCTATAAAATTGGACTTCGTGTTTTTTCATGCTCTCGTAGTGGAAGTGATCAATTCCCAAACAGTAATCGAGCTAGTTGCTTGTGGGCAAAAGTAAGATACGAACTCCTTGAAGACTGTCCTTCAGATGTACTTCGGTGTGACATTTCGGGTGGTTTTGTCTTTTAACATAATTTGTTCCCAGGATGCACTGTTTGGCAAGCTGGCCTTTGAGATTGTTTGAGTGTTTTATTCCATGCAAGTCCAAGCCGGTTAGAAATGAAATGAGAAAAACAGTCTGAACTTGAAAGAAAAAAAAAAAAAAAAAAACAGAAATTTAAGTCTGGTGCCTGAAGTAACATTTTCCACTGCCTGTAGTTTCAGGGCAAAGTTAGGAATCCGTCCTGCCGAGGTGACAGAGCTGTAACTACTTTAACACAGTTCAAACTTTCTTCCGCATTTCCACATAGCAGTGGTTTCATTAAAGCTCTTCCCAGAAGTCCATACACTATTAGGCTGTATGCCATTAATTTCAAGGTTCACAGGGGAGTAACTTGGCTATTTATAGTATCATTCCCATAAACTTAGAAAATCACAACCCAGAATAATCCGTGTGTGTGTGTGTGTGTGTGTGTGTGTGTGTTTCCAATGGAAACGGCCAGCCATTCCTTCAGGTCTCCTTTGCCAGTCACATCACAAAAAAAGAAATGTGCGTTGCTGAAGAATTCATTGCAAATATTGAGACTCTTACGAACATTCCGAGGGACGTTTGTCTCCCTTAGTCCTTCACAGTGACTGGCATTTGCCTTGTCAGAGTGGTTGGCTTGGTGATTCTCCCTAAGTGTTAAGTCAGGTGGTCACACTGCCAGTCTCCAGCCTCCGCGCCGCTTTAGACCCCAGTCCCTGGAGAATGCCGAAGTGCCTTTTTCTTTAAATGTTAGGAGATGTGAAATACAACTGGAAACTTTGACATAAATGAGCCTGTTTTCCCAACCTAAACTGAGAGGTACGGGGTCTAGACCTGCGAGGGATTCTGGGTCAGGGCCAGAGAGTGTGAAAGGTCCCCCCCCCACCCCCCGCCAGAGTGCCTTTTCTCAGCAGAGAGGAATGCCGTGAAGATCAAGTCTCCCCTCACTCTTCCCCTGGCTCTCCAATGCGTTCTCTCAGTTATAGAAACAAGCAGGACACAGTACAATTTCCATCTGCACCGTTTGGTGCTGAGCCTTTGGGAAATGTGTTTTCTGACTTCCCTCAATCATGTCTATTCTCAGAAGAAACTTGAGTTATGCTTCTGTACAACTTCGGTATTGATGGGGAGGAGACATCGTAGGACTTGGCCACATGGTGTTGCTCACCCCACATTGTGTTCTGTTGGTTACTTTACCATAGGCGTGTGACCAGTAGCTACAGTAAACATTTAAAGTTATTTGTAATGTATCACAGTGAAAGACACATTGCCATTACTGCCTCTCAGAATACTCCCCCGCACTTCAGATACAGTGGTCCCATCATTCTTGCCGCTTTCTGAAGCAGCCCTAGGGGTCTTCTTTCGTGCCTTTAAGTGTGCTGTCATGGCTGCCTTGATCAATGTCCTGAATCTATTCAAAACATTTACCTTCCGTGGTCATTTTGACTTTGGGGACGAGCCAGAAGTCGCATGGTGTCAGACCCGGTGAATCGGTGGGTGAGGACCCGCAGTCATCTTTTTAGGAGCCTGCCTTTCTTCTGGATGGTTCATAGCAGCAGCATTCACTGTATTATCACACCTCATAAAGACACTCACAAAAGAGGGTTCCCAGAACTGCTGCAGAGAGTGGTGAGACCAATGGGATGCGTATATTAAAAGTGAGCAGGAGCGTGTTGAGGGCGATTAGGAGCAGTGGGTATTTTACTGTAATACGTGTTTATTTAAACACACACCGTAGTTGTTGATCAGCCCTTGTACATTTGTTGAGCAGCTGGCTGCTTTCAGCAGTGTACCAGGTGCTCTGCAGCGGGGATGCAGGAAACACATCCTGTCTTGCTGATGGAACAGCAGCATGAGGGCGGGGGATACAGCTCAGTGGTAGAGGTAGAGGCTCCAGTCCAAGCGGAAGGCCTGCCTTCCAGCCAGCACCAGGAACAAGTAACAGATAAGTAACTAAGTGCGGCACATGTTGCAAAGTCCGGAGCACTTTCCCTGGGTCCCTGGAGCTGCTCACCGTCTTGCCCTGTACAAGACCATCACTGACTTCCGTGCTGGAGAGAGGTTCTGCGCTGCCTATTTCTGTACTCCAGGTAGGCGAAGGCAGTGCATCTGCCTGAAAAACCTGTTGAGAAGATGAGCTAATAATCTCAAGTCTGGGAACCGTCAGTGACTTTAGTGCCATTGGATCTTATCGAGGTCTCTGCAGTCATGGGGAGCTAGGAGAGGGGAGCTGAAAATTCAGTTTGATAACAAGCTGATGTAGAGAAGCTGACACACACAATAAAGTCTCACTTTGGAAAGGAACGTGGTGTTCCTCTGGTGCAGTTCCTGGTTTCACCTGTCATTCGTGATCTTTTACATCTACGTCCTTGACAGTCCCGGTCAGTCACTTGGCTCCTTCCGGTGCCAGTCCTTCTCCCTCAGAATTAACTATGGAACCACAGCGTCATTCTTCAGGATCTTCCTCAGTATGTTTAGGACCCAGTTCATACCACTTTGGGGAGGGGTGCTGGGCATGGTGGTGCATGCCTATAATCCCAGCACTCGGGAGGCTGAGGCAGGAGGATTGTTGAGAGTTCGAGGCCAGCATGAGCTACATAGTAAGCTCAAGGCCAGCCTGAACTGCATAGCGAGACTCTGTCTCAAAAAGAGGGAGAAAATACCACTCTCTCATGCACAGGAGGATCATCACAATATAACCCCGTTCTTTTTTAGCCTCTTGTGCCCAACCTCCTTGATGGTCCAGCCGCAGTAGGCATCTGTGTCTCTTCATCCCTCCGTGCCTTTGTAGATGCTGTGCTTCTGCCTAGAAGGCCTCCCTGCCTGCACACACCACAGCCATGCCCTCCCTGGCATCTGTCTCCCCTGTGAACGCTTACCTAGTCTGTAAGAAGCTTGGCACTTTCTCTGGGAAGCAAGCTGCCTCTCCAGGATGTCCTTGCCCTGCTAATGTTGCTCAGCTCCAGGGATCATCTTGAGCTTAGAGCCTGACTGCCAGGCATGAGCCTTCCCTCTCACTTATAAAATGGGGATTGTAACCACACCTTGCTCGCAGGGTTGTCTTGAGGATTAAATGTAATGAAGATTGATGTAAGAAAGGACTTGATGAGTATTCATCATTGTTGTCATTCAACCAGTAAGCTCCCTGAGGGAGGAGAGGTTTTGTTCCTGCATCCCAGGATCCCAGGTCAGTGCCTGGCTTGCCGAGGTGCCTTGAGCACACGTCGATGAGGGGTTACGTGAATTGGCCAGCACTCTTCCAGTCTCGGGGTAGACAGCCTTGACTTAAATAGACAAGGTCCCTCTCTCATGGAGTTTGGTGGAAGCTTTAGACAGAAACATGTAAACAAGTGTTATCACATAGTTGCCTGTACTGTGGAGAATGTAATCAGGGAGCTAGGATAGAGGCTCGCGATAAATGGGGAATATTAAGTGAGGAAGGCAGAGCCATGCCAGGATGCCAAGGACATAGCAAGGCCAGGGCCTGCAAGGCAAGCCAGCTCTGCTGCTGTAAACCTTCCCTGCTGCTTCGAGAGCACTCTTCCCCACTGGACTGTAGGCATCACAAAAGAGGGCTGCATCTTGGAACTCCTTATAAACACAGCGGCTGGCTAATATTTGCACCTTCTGTAAATATTTGTTGATTAAACAAAGGAATCCTCTTAAGAAAGTGCCTTTCTGTTTGCACATGTGGGCAGTGGACTCTCCTGCCTGCTGCTCTTTTCTCCTGGCATCTTCTGCCGTCCTGAAGCCTAGGAATTCCAGAGAATTCTTCTGCCATTGACTCCTCTTCCCATCCTTAGCCACCCTGATCTCCGACATAACATGCTTATTTCCTGCCCAAACCCCAGCCTTTCCATGATCCATTAGAAGCTGCTTTGTAAGTGGAAAAGCATCAGTGAAGATTCTGATCATCAGAAAATTATTTCATTATACCAATTTTAAACATTCATTTTTGAGAAGTTCTTCTGTGATACATTTTAAAGCGTGGTAGCATATCATTTAGATGCCCATATTCTGTCACTGTCCTTCAGTGAATCTCTGAACTTCACTGGAAGTGGAAGCAGAAGGGTTCCAAAATTCAATGTAATTGCTAGTGATCTAGTTAATGTTGGGGAGAGCAAGACAGCCCAGTGCTTTCTGAAAGTAAGTCAGTCATAGCACAGAGGTAGGCTGTGAGTGCCCAGGAGGGGACCCAGGCTTGTTGGGGGCTGAGGAAAGCAAGGGATCAGTGAAGTGAGAATAGCTGGGTAGCAAAGGCTACATGGCGATAGCAGCGGCTCATATTCTGTATGCTAGGTGCACTGTGACCTAGTGGAGCAGGTGGGTGGCAACAGCATGGGAAGATTGAGCTGTGATCATTCCTAGGGCTCAGGCAGCTGGGAGAAGATGGGGCTCAGACCTATTGAACGCTATTGAGCCTTTAACAAGGACAGTCTGCCATTTGTGACAATATGCATGAACTTGGAGAACATTATGCTAAATGAAATAATTCAGGCCCCAAAACACATGATCTCACTCATGTGGAACTGAAAAAGGTCAAACCAATAGGACAAGGAGTAAAATGTGGTTGCCGGAGTCTGTGGTGGGATGTTGGTCTAAGGATACCAACTTCCAGGAGGAGAAAGTTGAAGAGATCTTTTACATGTCAGGTGACTCTGATATATTGTATATTGGAAAATTGTTGAGAGATGTTAGGTGTTCTCACCACAAAGAAAGTAAGTATGCTAAATAGCCTGATTTAGCTATTCCACAGTGTACACATATATCAAACACTATATTGTATACTACACTATATACCTTTCTTTTTGACTTGGCAATTAAAATAATTTTTTTCAGTACTGGGAACTAAACTCGGGGCCTTTATACTGAGCTACATCCCTGCCTGTTTTTTCTGTTTGCTTGCTTTTTGTGGGGTTTTTGGTCGGTTGGTTGGTTTTGGTTTTTTTAGACAGGGTCATGCGAGGTTGTTGAGATGCCCAGGCTGGGCTCGAATTTGTGATGTTCTTACCTTAGCCACCAGAGTACTGGTAGGTGTGTGCTACCGTACCTGGCGCTAAAATAAATTCCGAAAAAGGAAAGCAGATGTGCGCAGGAAGTTTGCAGAGCCCTCAGTGGCTTCAGGGCTGTCTAGCGTGGGAGCGCTGGAGCCAGGCACTGGATCTGCGCTCTTAGAAACCAGCTGGCCGCCCTTAGCGGAGTAGACTGGACCAGGGCAGGGTAACTCCGGACTCCACCAGGAGCTGCTGCCCTAGTCCCTGCAGGAGAGGCCTGGCCTGCTGCTTCCCCAAACCTCCGCGTTTCTCTCAGCACTTCCGGGCACCGCCACATCTGCATCCGGGCACCGCCACATCCGGGTCCCACTCCGCCATGGCGGCTGGTGGGCTGGGAACCGGAGGCCTTACCCGAGACTGCTGGCAAGAGTGGCTGCTCATGGAAGTGCCCTGCTTACCGGCCTATGCTGCCTCCACATTACAGAAGCCGCTGGTCCACCGCAACCCACACCACTCTCCACACTTTCACGTCGAAAAGGGGAAAAATGGCACACCCTGAGAGACTGCCCTGCCCCATAGCAATGCTTTTAAGAACTTTCTGCCCTATTCAAAGTTCTAGAACAGTGAGTGACACACTGGTTCTTTGTTATCAGTTTACCCAGTTTTAATCACTGCATTGTTGGAAAGATGTGAGCTGCGGGAAGCGCTTTACAAGAGCAGCAGCCTTGGAGAAGGGTCTTAAAGGACTTAAGTTCCTTTCTGAAGAAAGTAATCCAAAGAACAAGTTAATGTTCCTCCATAGTTTGGGAATTAGTTATTAAATGGAAAATGCCTGACTAGTCTACAATTCTTCAAGGAGATAGAATTTAAAAGCCTGGAATTAAACAGCCAGAAGGCACATTTGGATTACATGCCAGGAAGAATTTTCCAGTAAAACGGTCGAATACGCTAAGATGGTCACGTGGGAGTCGGGAGAGCTGAGCAATAACCTCAGGGAGCAGGGCAGCAGTGCGGGAGGATTTGATAACTTCTCAGTCTGCACTGTAGGGCTCTCGGATGGAATGTGGAGCTGAGCAGACATTTACTGGCGTTCTTAAACATGCTTCCCACTCTGTCCCTGAAGCTTCCCCCGGGATCCACTGCAGACCTGCCTTGCAGAAGAAACTGCCTTACAAGGCGCCCTTTTGGGTGGCCCAGCAACAAGGCGTTCTTGGGTGGAGTCCAAGGCCCTCCCTGCGCTAAATCTTCCTCCAGTGGATAAGATCCTGCATTTCCTTTATTAAACTCCAGCTGCCTCTCATCTGGGCTTTTAATTGTAAGACAACATCTTGCTCTTCTCAACTGCTAACAGGACCCCTGCGTTATTGATTGGCCACTGCTAAGCCAGAGTACACAAGGGTAACTTCTTTGGATAAGGGAGGGGTGGCGCAGTGGGAAGACTTGGAAAGGGAAGGGACTTAGATGTAAGTAAAGGCCACTCCCTCCCCCAGCAGTCCCTGAGGGAACAGCCAGGTCCAGAGGAAAAAGCTGGAGCTGATAATGTGGACAAACTGTCTTTTTCCTAAAACTGATGGGCTAAGGAGCTGAACTCTTGTTTTATCACAAATCGCACTGATGTCAAGTTGATGGGGCTCCTTTGAAAAAGCGAATGTGTTGACTGCCTTCAGCTTTCTACAAAGGAGTGCAGGGTGAGGTGAATTAGAAGTGGCTGGAGCTTCAGCCCCATCCCTTCCACACCCCCACACCCCCAGGCAGAAGGTTGTCAAGGAGAGGACACCAGGGAACCCAGGAAGTGCAGCTGTCCCCAGACCAGGCCACGGCTGCACAGAAGGTTTGCAGCTGAAAAATAAGAAAGGTTCAGACCAGGTAAAATAGACCTGCTGACTGAGTTCTGACAAAGCACCATTCATGTGGTGTGAAGTTACCTGCAGTTAAGTGTGGATCAGGTCCAGGCCCAGGCCTAGGGGCCCAGTTCAAGGAGTTCGCCACTAGGAAAAAGCAACTCTCAGACTTTAGGGTAGTGTATATAATGCCTGAAGGTACTGCTCAGACTCCCTGCTTCACAGGATCATTGCAGAGGTCAGATTATGTAATAGGTCTGAGAGCACTGCATGAAGCCAAAGCCAGGTTGGTGACACACATATGTAGTCCCCCACATCTGGGAAGCTGAGGCAGGAAGTTCACAAATTCAAGCCCAGCGTGGCCAGTTTAATAGCTTAGCAAGACCCTGTCTCAAAACAAAGAAAAACAGATTGGTTATGTTGCTTCATGCAGAGGCCCTGGGTTCAATCCCTAGTGTCACAAAGGAGAGAGGGAGGAATGGGAGAGGAAAGGACAGGACAAACTGTGCTGCAGCAGTAACTGTAAAGCATTCCTATCAGGAGCCCACAGACTCCTGGGGAAGACAGTGCCTTGGAGTGAGTGACAGTGGTAGCTGACGATTGTGGAGTACGTTACAGGACTTTACAAAGGGCTCCAGTAGATGTTCCTTTCTTGCAGTTTAAAACCACCCTGAAAGGTGCAGTACAGGAAACTGTTTTCCCAAAAGGAAGCTGCAGGCCACATGTCACAGGGCACCTAGCCGCACATGTGCACTTAAGTCGAGGTATTTTGCTACAGCCTTGCTGTTCAGAATGTGCTACATAGACCTATAGTGTTGGCTCTCATAAAAATTTAAAACAAGCCAGACATGGTGGCACACAGCTATAATCTTAACACTCGGGAGGCTGAGGCAGGAGGATTGCTGTTGACATAGGGGAGAGAAACTCCCATCCTGCTAGATGTCCTGTAGGAGTTCATGTTCTCTAAACTTAAAGAATGAATTCCAGGAACAACGGAGGTTAAGAGAAGATATTGACTGGGGAAAGAAAGCTTCTGTCAGAAACAGAAGGGGTCCCCAGTGGGTTGCCGAGGACCCTGCCTTTTCTGATGATTTTTATAGAGCAAAACCATGAAGTGAGGTGGGTCCAGGTTGGGAAAAAATAGGAAATCATAAGGTGAGCAGGAGATAGGACAAAACTATGGTCAGCCAACAAGAGTACAAGCATAGTTGCTCAGGTAATATTGATTAAATGGGGATGAAATGGGGGCGCAAGTCACATAGCAAGCAGGCATGAAATAGAACAGGGGCTTTTCCTGAAGCGGGTGGGTCAGTGACTCTTCCCGGCTTTCCCAAGGTGATCCATACCTATTCACACTATCAGGGGCCAGGGGTTTAACTCAGTGGCACAGCACCTGCCGGGCAAGCATGAGGTCCTGGGTTTGATTCCTGGAACTGAAAAAAGAATATCAATCACTATGTTTATCCTTAGGAGAAATATGTGGGTACATTGGTTTGATCTTTTGTCTTGAGGTCTGGCCCTCTGTGGAGGTGTGTGTCTCCCCCACGGCTGCAACGTGTCCTGTCTTCTGCACTGGCTTCTTTGAGGGCTCAGCCCTGTCTGTCTGCCTCACAGACTGCCTATGACATTTCTGCCTAACTCAGCTGTCTGTAACACTGTGAGTTCAAGGACAGCTCTGGACATATAGTGAATTCAAAGCCAATCTGAAACATAGTGATACCCTGTGTCAACCAACCAATCAGTCAAACTAAGTTCAAATAAAATAAAACTAAGGCCAGCTGTGGTGGCACACACCTGGAATCCCAGCTTTCTGGGACGCTGAAGCAGGAAGTTCCTGAGTTCAGGCCAGCCTGAGCAACTTAGCAAGATCCTGTCTCAAAATTTAACAGGGGCTATGACACACCATCTAAACAGGTCAACAATAGCTCTTCCAGGGCACACAGAATAGAGACTCTGTATGATAACAAAGTTTAAGTCTTTCCTGAGGCACAGCCGTGGGCCTTACAATGAAACCATATTGTTTTGGGGGAGACATGTCCCCTAAGTGGATATGTTCGGAGCTCAGGATGGTGCAACTCTGTACAGGCCTCTGAGAGCAGTCTAGCGTCAGGTTTCCTAGGGCCAGCCTGGAATCTCAGAGCCCTTGGCAGTGACTGTGGGGTGCTGGGGCTGAATATTGTCTCCAGGGAGACCTCTCGCAGTATAACGTCCGAGTGATCACCCTTTCTCTTTCACACATGGTTTAAACCTGAGTGCTGACCTTGACCTGTCGGAGCCTCTCCTCTCAGATCCATTTTCCCAGCCGAACAGTACTCAGCGTGAGTGGTCTCAGGTATGGTCTGCCGTAGGATGGGATTTGCATTCCAAGGGAGCTAAGCCTAGTACTAGAGGGCTGTGAGAACTCAGCAAGGCGTAATTCCTTTTGACTTTCTGAGAGGCGAAGAAAAAGCACTTTATTCCCCCAGGCAGAGGTGCAGCTGCCTCCAGTCACCTTGTTCTCTCCGAGCTTTCCAGGATCCCAGCGCTCCCCCCAGCCTGCTTTCTGTCCGAGGTTTTGTTTGCATCAGATTCACCGGCCGCGGTCAAGGGTAGCATTGGGAAACCAGCTGGGACATCTGTTCTGCTCTCTTCTGGCCTGACCCCAAGCAAGGAAGGAAAATTTATCTCCTGATACTTCCCAGAGGTTTTGGAAGAGGCCACCCACAACCGAAACTTCAGCAATGTGTGAGGGGAGCCGGAGCCCCCTCCTTCTCCTGCTCCTCCTCCTTTTCCTTCTCCCTGGGAGCTTTCAGGACTCTGCTGGGGCTCGGGAGGGAACTTTAGTCTCAGCCTCAGCAGTTACCGCAGCTTTGGCTTCCAGGGACCCCGTCAGGAGCCTTGGTGTTCCAAGGGAATCCGAGCCTGAGAGGCGAGCAGCCGCGCAGCCGAGCCACTCCTTGGAGAGGCCCGGCCCGGCTGAGGGCACACTGACCGCGGGCAGACACCTGACAGGCAGGGGTCGGGGCTGAGAGCCGGGCTGGAGACTGACCTGACTCGGCCCCTTTCGCACCGTGAGCCTCCGGCCCACCGCACGCAGAAGCGGCTGGGCAGAGGGGGTGTCGGCGGCACCCGCTTCCTCCGCCCAGCTCCCCGCTTTTCCCTCCATCCACTCTGCTTGGGCTCGCGTTGTGTGCCGCCTCTCTTTCCTGTCCAGCCGTGCACAAAGGGCTGTCCTTTCTCCACCGAAGCCCTGTCTTAGGCGGCTGCAGCTGCGGACATGGTGAGCCCTGCGCAGTGCACCCCAGACTCGGCTCTTCCGGGGACCCCCGGGGCAGCTTGGGAGTCCGGGCAGTTTAGTAGCTTAGCAAGACGCTGTCTCAAAACAAAAACAGGTTGGTTATGTTGCTTCATGCAGAGGCCCTGAGTTCAATCCCTGGTGCCACAAAGGAGAGAGGGAGGAATGGGAGAGGAAAGGACGGGGCAAACCACTGCAGCAGTAAGTGTAAGGCATTCCTGTGAGGAGCCCACAGACTCCTGGGGAAAATCGTGCCTTGGAGTAGGGGGCAGTGCAGAGCACTTCATAGAGCTTCACAGAGTGCCCACGGTCGCTTCATGCAGCAGGCAGCTAGCGGTCTGGCTGCTTCCTATCTCTTTGGATATTTCGAGTCTCTTATATAAAGTCAAAATATGTTTGCATCTGTCAGTACTGATGGTATTTTTAAAAGCTTGAGTATCACTTTAGGAAAAATATTCCCCTAAAGGTACACGATCTAATCTTTTTTTTGGCGGAGGGGGAGGAGGGGTGTGTGCGTTTTGAGACAAGGTTTTGCTGTGTAGTCCAGGCTGACATTGAACTCGCTATGTAGTCCAGGCTGGCCTCACACTCAATGGCAGTCTTATTGCCTCAGCCTCCGGAGTGCCGAGATGACAGGTATGCACCACTACACCCAGCTTCCATTCTTTTGTTTTGTTTTTCGTCTTTCTGAGATAGGGTCTCACTGTGCAGTTCAGGCTGGCCTTGAACTCACTTTGTAGCCCAGGCTGGTCTTGAACTCCCAATGATCCTCCTGCCTCAGCCTCCTGAGTGCTGGGATTACAGGCACAGGGCACCACGCCCAGCCTGCTTCCAGTCTTTCAGTTATTTCTCTAAAGCAAATGTTCCTTGAGCCTGTGGCAGTGGGAGCGAACCCATAGCCGCAGTGTGTGCCACAGTGGTCGTCCCTGAAAGCTCTCGGAGGTTTGCTGTCCCTGGGCTGAGGTTTCTGTGCTGCTCACCGTTGACTCCTCGGTGTCAGGCAGTGCTTGGGATGCGGGAGGTGCTGAACACACACTTGGTGAGTGAGTGAGTGAGTGAGTGAGTGATGAAGCGCAGATCCATCGAGCGCGCGCTGTTGGAAAGGGAGGCTGCTCGCCGACGGGCGCTCGCCTTTAGAGAGTGGGGCTCCTCCTGTCCTCGTCGCCTCTCTGAAATCTCTCACAGTGGCTCACCCTGCCTGGAGGAGAACCTCGTGCTGCACCTGAACCTTTTGGATTGGGTTTTACTCAGACTGTCCCTTATAATTACTTTCTACTCTCAAAAAACTCTGAGACTTCCGGGCATGGTGGAGCTTAAGTTCAAGGCCAGCCTGGGCAACATAGCGAGACCCTGTCTCAAAAATCATGAAGGGCTGGAGAAATAGCTCAGTGTAGCACCCTGGCCTAGGTTGTGGAACCCCTGGATTCAATCTCTGGTGCCAACAAACAACAGAACTCTGAGACTGAGAGCAGTGTGCTGTTCTATTTTACCATTTTCCCCTAACTTTCCCACGCAGTGAGTATGCCACTCTACCACTGCCACTGGCTGTGTGATCTTGAGAAATTAACTGACCTCTCTGAGCATCAGTTTTCTTGCGTGAAGTATGCGACTGACTTACAAGGTGCATGTGGGAGTTGCATGCGTGTGTATTTTAAATGCATGACACAGCGTTTGACCCATAACTGATCATCAGTAATTCGTCTACTCATCTGCCTTTGCCTCCAGTTGAGCAGCAGCAGCAGAAAGCACGAGTGCGGTGCAGTCTCGTTATCTGCAGTAGTTCTGTTCTGGGAGGGCTGAGTGAATGAACACCGAACCACCGCTCCCAGGGGCGCTGTGTGGTTGGGATCCCAGAGCCTCTGATCACACTGATCAACCCGTCAGGACATAACTTGCTTTAAAGACCTCTTATTTAATCTGTGCTGAGCTCACAGCCAGCGACACAATAACCCACGCCTGGATGCAGCCCTCAGACCCATTTCCCTAACACACGTCCCTATGGGCTGTTGGTTCTTTGGGGGATGCGAGCCAGCTCCTGGCAGTGGGGTGCGGGGGGCAGTTTAAACA